GGGCCACTCCCCTGGTAGAGCCAAGCACACTGGACAGGAAAGAGGGACCAGAGCACCCAGCCCTTGGCTTCTCTCCGAACCCCCATCCCCCACCCTAGATCCCAACGCCTGTCGCAGGGCGTCACCAGCCCGCGTCTCCGGGGTCTCCAGGATCACTCGTAACCGAGAGGCATGCGTGGTCACCTGTAGCCCGGGACCCCAGCGCAGCAGCCGGGTCGGCTCTGCGTCGCTCCCATCCCTCGCCAGCCGCCTCCTCTAAGGAAGCTGGCGGATCTGGGAAGGCCGCGATGTCACCAGCCAGCCAGGACCACAAGGCTACTAACCCAGCTGTGTCATGGGTCGCTGAGGCCGCTATGCAGCACAGGAAACCCGAGCTGGGACCACGGGACTCTTCGCCGCACGCTACTCCCACCCCCCCGCCCGCGTCCACAGCGCCCCTTGTCCCCAAAGCCCTGCATCCCCAGCTAGCCCGCCGCAGAACATACCCCGGATTCTCGGTTTCCCGGCCGGCCGATAGAGAGCAGAGCTGAGAGGACGAGGAATCCACCACGCCCGGGGCCTCAAATACCTGAGGGGCGGGGGAAGCGGGCGGAGTCTACAGCCTGGCCACACCCTGAGGCAGGGGCAGAGGACAAGGCCAGGTGAGCCCCTAAGAACCTCCATCCTAGCCCCTCCTCTGGCTCCTGGCCAACCCGCTGGATTGTGCAGCTGATCTTTCTGGCACTTTCTTAATGCTATGGCTAACTCCAGGCTATAGGAATGCATGAGGTTACTACTCAGGCTGGAGTCTCTGGGTGGTTTCCTACAGCCTGTTTACTGTGCCTTTGTAGTAGACTCAATGACAGTCTTAGTGTCACCACAAGTATACCAGTGTTTGGTGGGTGGACATTAATGTGGCAGAGCAGAACAGAAGTTTAAAGTGAGGGAGAAAAAAAAAGATTTACCTACTGGGGACAGAGCTGGAGCACCTGTTCATCAGGCACAGAAAAATAGAGGTGGTCAGGGCCTGTGTCCCAAGACTCCACTACTCTGTACTGGAAAAGTCAGACTTGGAAGTGCTGATATTTCATATAGATGAGACTGAAGACCCTGTCTGCCACCTTGCATTCCTTCTGGGAAGCCAGTCGCCTGGTGGGGAGTGCTGGTCCAGTTTAAACCTCTAAGGACAGGTCAACTCTAAAATCATCAGACCCTGACCCCAAACCTAGGGTTCCCAACAATGACCATGGTGACACTTACACTGGATGTTTCCTGTGGAGGCTGCCCTGATTTACAGAATGTTAACTAGCACCCTTGACCCCTCTACCTAGTGTATGTCGGTAAAAAAGCAGGAGGCCACCCTAGCTGTAAATTTTCATGTGTGAAGTTCTGAAACAAGGGAATTCAGAGTATCTTACTATTCCTCCTCCTCATCCTTCATTAACTCCACTCTGGGTTTTGTTGTTGTTTTGCTTGTTTGTTTTCTGGTTTTTATTTGTGTGTGTGTGTGTGTGTGTGTGTGTGTGTGTGTGTGCTGTGTGCTCTGTGTGTGTGTGTGTGTGTGTTGGGGTGTTTTAGCGCTATCTCCAATATGAAACAGAGATCTTCCTTATTCTTTTCCCCAGCAGTATAGTATTCCTTTGTGTGCATGTGGATTGAGTCCTAGACTTTAGGTTTTCAAACCCACTACATGTGGTGGGGGCAGCATATGGGCATCTGAAGACAGCAGAAGTCTCAGGTGACCCTCTTCGGCTCGGTACCATTACCATAGCTCTAACTATCTGCCTATTTCATTGACAAGTCTGTGGGCGGTGGCGTTCTGTAGGTCACCCAGCAATTCTGCTTCATGATGCGCAGCGGTCATGTCACAGCAGAGGAAATGCCTCCACTACAGCTGGAGGAGCGGTTCTGATTCAGTAAGTTACCTTAAGGAAATGTTTCCAGATCGCGTGGGTTAAAAATGCAGGGGCTCAGCATCTTCCCAGAAAGACTCCTCAACATGAGGCTGCTTAATGCACGCCTGTCACATTTTATGGTGTGTATTCTGCTGGGCTTGTCATGAGAGACAGGTGACAGTCAAAAGG